TTTTTTCTGCGTATTTTTAATTGTAAGGAAAAGAGCTACTTATCTTTCGCATGATTCGACTGCTGCTTTTGTTCATTAAGCTATTTATTATTATTAGAACTTTATTAGATTATTAGAATTTTGGCATGATATCTGCCACAACGTTTATTGCTAGCCATTGTTTTTTTAATATTTAGAATATTGACGATGAAAAACAGAAAGCAATAAACGAAGAGCTTTCTAAAAACGTTCGTACAACTATGATGTCTGTTGTTGTCCCAGCTCTTGATTCTGTTTGTACGAGCCTTTTCCAACAGTTAACTGAGACTTTCCGATCTGGTTTAGAGCAGTTTCTACGTCAGGTCCGCAACGTCCAGCTAGAAACTGTGAAAGCCTCAAGTTCTGTCATTTCAAGTTCAGCAGGTGTTGATGGGCCCACTTTGATTCAGCTGATTGAAAATGATCAGATTTCAGCTGCCTTTGAAAGGGTTATAAAAATTTTTTTTTTTCCGATTCTTATAATCAGCTTTAAAAAATTATTATGACATTTTGACGACGAATTGAAGAATAATAACATTCTTAAAACAAACAGTTTTTGTTGTGTTTTTAAATATAGATAATTCGGTCGAAGAACTCTTCAAATTAATCCTTAACATCTTTTAAGGCAATATCTCAAAGTGACCTTTCATCCTTAATGTTTGTGTGCAATAAGGTTGATCCCGACACTCTATTCAGAGCGGAACAAGTCCTTTCCCAGAGTGTACTGTTGTGTATTTTGAAAAAGCTTGGAAGCAAATTGGAAGGAGAGACGGACCTGAAGTTTAGGTATTTTCCACTCAAGTTCACGAACCTTTTGTGTGTTTCAACAAGCATAATAAGGAGTAGATTATTCAGGTACATTGAAAATTCACTGATGGCTTTGAATTTAAAGGAGCCAACTACAGCTGCAAATTACCGGCCAATCCTTGAATTTTTACAGGAAGCTTTCTTAGGTGACTAATTTTGTAATTCTGCTGACTAGTCATTTGTGTCGTCTGAGGCCGCTTACAGCTTTACGAGAAAACTTTCTTGCAGGTTTTATGGCCAAGGATACGAATTCCAATTACAAGCGGCAAACCAGGATTATTTTGCAATTAATAGTAAGCATGTTACGATAAACAACTTTGGAAGAAGTCAAGTTGGCTCCGAAGTTTTTTCTCGTTTCATTTGGCAACAGTATATAGCAAATCATGTTGTATAAACCTTGTATTTTGGTGGGATTCGTTACTGTATCGAAAGATTTGGTAGAGATAGGCAAGGCTGTTTTTTCAATAATGAGTATAGAGTAACCAGATTATGTGTTAGGAGTCAATAGAGTTTTAACGTTGCCACCAACATAATGAATGTATATAGGGTCTACAATTCTTGAAATATTTCTTTCGACAACATGCTGTTGTTGTAGAGGTCTTAATGCCTTTTCCTCATCCTCGAAAGCTATGTTAAAGTTACATCACGTTTCCTCTATCTCATTCTCTTCCTTGTGTTCATTCTTCAGCTCAATACTCTAAAAGTAGCCTTTTTAGTGGGACAGCAGTTCCGTGGGGCATTTTAAGTTCAATGTTTTGGTTCTTTTGAACCTCTTCGTTGAGAGTTTTTTGCATATGCCTAAAAAAACCTAATATGATGAAAATCTACTTTTTTAGTACTGCATGTAACTTAGAAAATGAACTACTTTCCCCAGCTATATGATATTTGGAACGTTTGATTTGCCGCTAAATGAACATAAATTTCTAGAATAGTCGGTGGCCACCACAGAATAGATAGTAGTCTGGCAGTAGTTTACAAGGTACAGTTATAACCAACTATCTACACAACCTACATTTCACTGAATGAGGTTCATCAAATGTACCAAAAAAGCTTTAAAATGTCAGAGACTTTAGATGTTGCCTTATCAATGAACTAGACAGCCGCGCTAGTCTAGAAAATGTCCAGTTTTTGGATAAATTTTAAACGAGGTTATTACCACAGAGAAGACACGTGCCTTAATCTTCTCTATGATGAGCACTCTTCTAAAGCGGTATTCTAAGTTTTTGTGAACACAAAACCTAGCCCAGATCATTCAAAAAACAGTACGGAGGTTCACTTGTATTTATGCCTCAAATTCACGAAAAAGCAAGGGCTTTGGTCGGGTTCTGAAAATAATTTTCTTTTTTATGATAGCAGTCACTAGTTGGTTTTTATTGCCATTGGAGTCCAGTGAAAGTACGATCAGCGGTTTTTCCAACTTCGCTTCTTTCCCCTCCAAGATGTTGTGTGTTATAATCAGATATGCCTAAAAGTAGATGGTCATAGACATCATAATTTCTCAGTTTCTTGTCAAAGTTCATGGTATTATTTAAAACTCTGAATTTCTTACGGTGGAGACTCACTGTTTTATCCATCCACGCTAAATTCCCGATTAACTTGCCAAGGAAATCCTGACCTATTTCTAGCACTCCTTGTAACTCAACAATTGTCCATTCCTTAATGCCATTTCTGAAAAACTAATATCTCAGGCCTTTAATCAGTTAATCAGGACTTTGTCTACATTCCCTTGTAAGGCTAAGCAGACTTCTTATAAACATCACAATCAGTATGCTTTTATGGACAGTAAAGAAAATGTCCGTAAGAACTACGTATAATGTGATAAATTCAAGTGAGTTTATCGGGAACAGAAATTGATATAAGCTGAAAATATTTGGAAAATACAGAGCAGTAGGAACCTACTCGTTGGGCAGCAAAAATATCTGCATTGTGACTCTGTGCTGTGGTCAAACAACTGTTCCGAAAGATTTACCTGATTACCGATTTCTACGGAAGATACCATGTAGTTGCTCCACAAAGCGCACAGGAGATATTTCGTGTTACTAATCAAAATGACTAGAAAGAAAGATAATCAGTGCAGAGAGGACTGTACTAGGTGCAGTAAATTAACTTACAGCGATCGATTTAACTCTTAGCGTATACGGAGAGGATACTGGAAATTGATTCAATTGATAATCTGTATTCTATTCCCCTTTCAGTCACGATGCGAACTACCAAGTAGTACAGTGACAACAATAAGAGGAAGATTCAAAGAGATAAATGAAAAGACCTAGTCCTCAAAAAACTAAACCATAAAAAAATAGTAAAACACAAAATATGAACTGTTTCGCAGTTAGTGATTACCATTTTTACAACGAAACGCTGAAATGCTGTCTTTCACGACTACTTTCTTGTATACAAACTCTCCTTCAATTTTTCGCGATAATCCCCACTTCCTCATTCATCTTTACTAAAGAACCGCTCCTTAGGATGTCTAAGCATAAAAATCTCTAAGTTACTGCGACTTAGTACGGCTCTGCTTCAGCTTATTGCTTCCATCACTTTCGCTGGCTGTGATGAAACAGAGCTACATCTACTGCGTTTAGTGTTCAATGGCTTCATTGGCTTAAAAAAAGTGAGGCCACCGAAGTGAGAGTTCCTTGAGTACCAAGTATTTTGAGACCAAAAACTGTTGATTATTACAAACATCAGATGGTGTAAAATATTTCCTGTTACCAACAATCTCTTAAAACAATGAAACGGCGTTAAAGATTTATCCTTTGAACTCAGTAAAATAATTGTAGAAAAAATCGTTTGACTGTAAATTAAATACCATGAATAGAAACAGATTATTTTGCCTAGGAATAGCAATCGGGAAAGTGACAATCTGCCACTTTAATCTGTTAAAGAACGGCCAAAAAAGCGCATTAAAAGCAGAGGATTAAAGTGTATAAGGTTTTGCGGTGAGAAACCACTAAATACAGAACCCTTGTTGCAGTCTACAGCAAAATCAGTTATTTATGCAGCTCTGCTTGCAAATCAACCAACTGGTGAACAAGAGCCAAGCGAAACGGAGTTACTTCCATAAGAAAAAAAACGGTCTGGAAAATAAAAACAAAGCAGGGATCACTGGAGCTATCAGTTCAAGAATACTAAAGGTTAGCGAATTGCAGTTTAAGGTGGCTTTAAGCATTCATTTCTCCCGCCTGTTAAACTTTGCCAAAAATTTTGGTTTATTACTACATAAGACTGAACTTTACTTGTCGAACTGATTCGTCCGGGAAACTGTGTAATGCAACTGATTTGAGGAATATATAGGCGCCGTCATTTCCAATTTGGTGCGAAAATTTTTTCGTGGCAGGATGAGAGGTACAGTAGTCAGATCGGCTGGCAACTCATTAAAAGTTATGACCTAAGTTCACAATGGACATTGTTTAGTTGATTTATTTTTGGAGATCTGCTGAGTTTTTGACACCATTTGGTCCCTCAGAACTTGTCAATCTCTTGGTATTTCATATAGATCTGTAGCGTCATTATCGAGATATTTGCCGGAATGTGACGTTGAAGCTCATTTTTAAACTGATATTTTTCTGTGATTTGGTATTTAAAATTTAGGATGTTTAATTCATGAAATTTATTCGTTTTTTGTACATGGGTTCCTTGAAGTGTGTTCTTCAGGAAAATGAAATTTAATTGAGAGGGTTGCCGAGCTTTTTTTTTTGCAAATTTGCTCTTTATCGAGGGAAGTTTTTTACAAAGTGGGTTGGTATACAGTCGGACTGACTGGTTAAATCCGTCTAT